CTTCTTCTTCTTCTTCTTCTTCTTCTTCTTCTTCTTCTTCTTCTTCTTCTTCTTCTTCTTCTCTGTATGCCTCTGATGATGCCTCCTTTGGTGTTTCTTTTAAAGAAGACAAATTAATTAGAAAACCGTTGATACTAATTCAAAACGAAAATACGCGCAATTCACGGGGTGTATGTACACCTGAGAAAGCCAGGCACTACGCAACGACCGAAGTGATGAATATTATTTGCGAGAGGAAAACAAATATATTTCCTTCCGAGTATTCATTTAAAACAAACAAACAAAACAAAAAAGAAATTAATAATTTTAAAAGCGCCGCTGCAATTTTTGAACTCCCGCAACCGCCTAAGGAGTTTCCTCCGCCTCGGTAAGGCGAAATAAATCAAACATTTTAATGATATACTTATTTATTTAATTTAATTTAATTTAATTAATTAGTTTATTTATTTATTTTTTTACTTTTTACGTCTTCTTCTTTACTGCTCAATGGTGCTGTTCACCTTGGCGAGAAATCGCGGGTCTCTGCGGTGTATGAGCAGCACACATATAATGTATATGTATATAAATATTATATATATAATATAAATAATATGTATATATAATATGTATAGATATACATATATATTTACTTTTCATGCATGTCTATGTATATATACACCTTACATATAACATATGTACTCTAAACAAACGAATAATTGTCTGGTGATGCTACAGTATCAATATACACAGAGAATTATAATACTTGTCTTATATATATATATGCATATATATATATATATATATATGTATATATAAACACATATATCTTTGTATCTATATGTATATACACAGGCGTATATATATGTATATATATATATATATATATATATATATTTGATGTTGTTGGGCTTGTGATATACACGCACACACACACACACACAATATATATATATATATATATATGTACATAAATACATGGATATAAACATATAAACACAAATACATATATGTATATATATATGTATATACAAAGTTAGATTGCGTGTGATGTTGTTAGGTTTGTCTTAGCGTTAGATCGCCTTCGTTATACTTCGAATTTAGGAATTTTGCTGCGAAGTGCGGCGATGTTTAAAATAAATTTTATTTTTTATATCAACGGCAATGCAGACCCCTTCAACTGGAAAGTGCTTGTAAGACAGTCTTTCAATTCTTTTTGTTTTGTTTTGTTTGTTTTTATTTTTTGTTTTGTTTTGTTGTTGTCTGTTTGGAAGTACTTGTAAGACAGTCGCCCTATTCTTTTTGTTTTGTTTCGTTTTGCTTTGTTTGCTTTTGTTTTTATTCTTTCTGTTTTTTTGTTGTTGTTTGTTTTGAAATTACTTGCAAGACAGCCCCTCTACACTTTTTGTTTGTTTGTTTTTATTCCTTTTGTTTGCTTTGTTTGTTTTGTTTTGTTTTGACTGCTGCTTGTTTGCTTGCTTCTTCTTTTTGCTTGTTTTGTTTGTTTATTTTGTTTGTTTTCTCTCGCTGTTGTATTTTGTTTTATTCTTTTAAATAATAAATATAATTCTTTTTATATTTATTTTGTTTGCGTCTGCACACCGCATTACACCGCCCGAAGACATCTTAGGATAAAGAGGTTGAAATAATTTTAAAAATAAATAAATCTTATTTATTTTATAGGCAATAAAGAAATATTATTATTTGTCTTATACTATTATGATACATTATTATTTCTATTATTAGTATATAATATATTAATAATATAATTCAATGCACAAGCCAACGAATAAATAGACAAAAGCAAACACTAACAAACAAAACAGCATCTCAGCAACATCAAGCAGCAGCAGCAAAATAGCAAATCACAAGGAGCAGCATCAGAGCAGCAGAAACAGAAATTCAGCAGCAGAGAAGCAGCAAAGCAGCAGCAGCAGAGCAGCAATGCATCATCAGCAGCAAAGCAGCGGCAGCAGAGCAGCAAAGCATTGTCAGCAGAGCAGCAAAACAGCAGCAAAGCATCAGCAGCAGATATAATGAATGGTGAATGCATGCGTATTAATATATAAAGCAAGTAAATGCTTGTTTATTTATATTTCAGGAACTCAGTCGCGGCTATCATTTATCTATTCCTTTTTCGTTCGGCTGTCATGCGTCTTTAGTTGAATTTTGCATCCAGCATAAACTCGCTCTCATTACTCTCGATGTTAACGGCATTCCAATCGAGCATTTAAAAGGTTTGTTTGTTTGTTTGTTTGTTTGTCTATTTGTTTGTTTATTTGCTTCTTTGTTTGTTTGTTTGTTTGTTTGATTGATTATTTGATTATTTGTTTACTCGTTTGTTTGTTTGTTTGTTTGTGTGCTTGTTTGTTTGTTTGTTTGTTTGTTTGTTTGTTTATTTGTTCGTTTGTTTGTTTATTTGCTCGTTTGTCTTTGGTTTTTATTTTTCTTTCTTTGCATGCATATGCAAATGTTTACAGCCAGCCGATTGCTCTCTTTTATTATTTTCTGTTTTCATTCTTTTTATCTCCTCACCACTTTTATGTTTTTATTTTCTCTACTTTTTACGTTTTTAGAATTGGATGCTGCCAATATGCTGTTGATGCAGGTGTATGTACACCCCATATATATATATATATTCAGGCGTGTACATATATATATAATATATATATATATTTCTTTTCTGTTTTATTTTTGTTATGCACAGACAAACTGAAAGAAAAAAATTACAGCGGCATTTGCTGCGTTTTAGGAAGCGAGTCGCGCGGCTTAGAAGAATATCTTTTGCGGCATTCTATAAAGTAAAATATATTTATAAGTATATAAAGTATATATATATTATATATTTATTTACTTGTTTATAGTTTTATTAAATAGATTCTACTCGTAGATAATGTCTTCTTTATTTATTTAATTATTTTATTATATATCTTAATATATACTTAATGCCCCATTCAATCCGATATCTTTGAATTGTTTAAAGGGCTAAGTATAATGTATATTATATTATATTATTATTGTTTTCTACTTTAATATAATATAATTATATTTATATATAATATCTACTTTATTATCTATGCATGGCATATATTATATGTACAT